TTGACATAAATTCCACTTCACTGAAGTCAACTATTCCCCTAGTCTCCTTTGTGCCCATAAAATAATGATAAAATGTCCTTGCTGTGGGACAACAGATAAAAAAAGAGACACAGCTCCTAACTCAATCCTCTGTCTGCCCAGAAAACAGATGCTCCCTGGCCCATTATCTGTAGAACATTCTGTCAATGTGCTGATTGTTCCTTTTTCCCATAAACTCTACATGGAGCCACCCCTCAACCGCCCCCCCCCCATGTACACCCCATGCTTGCTAAATATTAACCAATCATGTAACTGCTAAATGGAACATCCCCAAACCTTGCGGTAGCCACAATAAAAACCCTGCTGGTTTGGAATTCGGGGCTCTCAATCCTGATCCGCTGCGTCGGTGACGGTTGAGTGCCCCTGCTCGAGCTTGAATAATCAACCCTCGTGTGTTTACATCGGAATCGGCTCCTTGGTGGTCTTTGGGGACTTCACGATCTGGGCACAACAACAGCAAGTCTCAGTTCCAACTAGAGACAGCAAGCAGTTGCTGCTGTTGGGCATCGCAGGTCCAGGACAGAAAGGTCCCTGAAGGCAGGCGCTGTGTCTCTGGTTTTGTAGACTCTGGCTGAGTATCTGGCTGGCACTCAGGGATGTTTAATGAAGGGATAAATTAATGAACCTAATCAGGACCTGGAGGGCTGCTTTGTGACTCTAGGCAGGTCTCCAGCCTCTCCCCCATGAAAGGGATATAAAAATACCGACTTTATCCGGTGGAAGATTTCAAAAACCACCTCAATTTTCCCGCTAGTCATTCTTCTAAACTGGTTTGTTATCTTTATGACTATCCAAATTACATTAATTATTTAGTGATTTTTGTGTTTATGGATTGTCGGCTTCTCTTGCATTAGCATTCCAGGTTCCATTCATTGCTCTATCATCACTCATTCATTTACCGATGTTTACTTGGACTACTGTATTTTAAACTCTACTCCAGGCACAAAGAATACAGCCATGCACCTGCCTCGCAAGTCCTGAGTTCAATCTCTGGTACCAAAAAGCCCCCCAATTTCCTGCAATTATGGCAAATTAAAACTAGGTAAGTAAACAAATGAGTGGCTTTTAAAAGCAGGTGCAAACTCTGCATTTTGGATCCATTCCATTATTAAAATGAAATCTGATAAAAATTTAGAGGGATTGATTTTAAAATTAGTTTTTCATGTGCAGTAGGCTGGCCAAATTGTGGCAATTTAAAATTATGATTTTTCCCTTTATTTCTTGACCTAAGAACAGAGTGTATTACCAAGGATGCTCAAACTAGACAATATTTTCCTCATTTTATCTGTTATAACCATCCAGTGTTGCCTATCTCGACAAGGAGTTGATTATTAAATGATTCTTTGTTGGGAGCAATGCTGCATAATTCTAGGGAAAAATCGTTTGGTTAGCCTAGTTCTCTTGCCTACAGCCCAGCTACAGAATAACTCCAGTTTGGCCTCCGGTCACAACCGAGACTTCAGTGATCCAGTGATGCTGTGATTCTCCAGGACAAGAAACATCCTGGGAGAACAAACATCTGCTCAGTTCCTCGTTGTTCTTGGACTGTTAACATCTTGTTTGCCGGAGATGTACTGAACTCTCTGCAAGCCTTCTGTTACACCTTGTTTATCCCAATGTGAACTATT